GTGAACCCAGTGAAGCCCGTGTGCCCTGTTTCTGTGCCCCCTTCCCAGACRCCCCCAGCATCCACGTGGGCTCTGCACCCTAGCGGCACAGCAGCAGGGGCTCTTCACTTGCTGCGGGGCCCGTGGTGAGTCCTTCACCCGCTTCAGCCTCCCCGGGGAGGTTGATGGGCATCTGTTGGAGTCTCTGCTGGTCCTACAGCTTTTGGCCCAGGGGTCCCTGGGATTTTCAGTTACTCGTAAGCCCAGAGCAGGAGGAGTCCCTGAGCTGCCCTGGTGCGGGTGGGCCCAAGGTGTCTTCAGGGCTGTGGTATAGCCTGGCCTGGACTTCGCCGGCTGGTCCTTTCGGGAAGTCTGCTTAGCTCTGGGCTTCCTCTCGCCTCTGTATGAGGACAGGACAGGACACTGTTTTCAGATGCCAGGAGAGGCTTGAGGGACAGCCAGGCCCTGGTTGGCCTTCCTCCTTCCAGCACCTCCAGCTTCTCTGCACTCAGCACTGGCCTGGGCAGTTCTCACCATGCCAAGGGTCCCCCCACGGCCCTCAGGGCAGTCATGGCTTGCCCAGAGCTGGTGGTTCTGTTTGCCTTAGCAAATGGGGCTTGCTCATGTGCACCTTGGGGTCTCATTGTGCTTGTTCCTGCAGTGCTGGGGATGAAACCCCTGTCCTTGTGCATGCCAGGCAAGGACTCTGAGCCACCCCTACCCCCTGGTTCGTTCTGTGAAGACCTGTTCTGTGACTTTTGAAGACTCAGCCCTTCCCCCTTGACACAGCAGCCCTCAGGACCCAGAAGTCACTCCAGCAGTCCCCCACCAGGTGCTGTCGTGCCCTTGCTCTCATAGCACCCCAGCACCCCACAAGGTACTTTATGTTAACCTTTTAAGTGTAAGGAGGAAGGAGAGGGTTTCCCTGAGAAATGGCTCCCTGTCCACGTTCGTCAAGTGCTTCCAGGCACCTGGCTGCTGCTAAGTGCTGTCTAGGAAGTCCCTATCTTTTCTAACCTCCCACTTCACAGCAGAGAAACAACCCCAGGGCCGAGAGCTTGCCTCAGGCACATARGGATCCAAACTGTGGGCTGGGCTAGGCCTGCAGCTGCCATCTACGAGCTGCTGGGGCCCACGGGAGAGGTGTCCCTTGTGGGGGCAGCAGCAATTTCAGCGTCTTCACATCATGTTAGATCATGCAGGGAACTTTGCCAGATGGTAGGCGTCAGTGCCTGGGACAGTCAAGAGCATCAAGGCTGGCACCTGCTTCATATTACGAAAATCAGAAAGGGTGAGCTGCCACTGGGCTTGGTTCCCATGACCCTCCTGAGCTTCCTGATATCACAGTGCCCCTTGGAGACTTTGGTGACCCCTGTATCTTCCCTACCTTGCAGCAGCCCTTTTTAATCTCTTCCAGTAACCTTATTCCTGGTGAGGAGGTGTGTGTGTGTGTGTGTGTGTGTGTGTGTACGCGCTGCCTAGACTGAAGGTCTTGGAGTGTTTGTGGTATTGTTAAGATGATTCTGTCCCCTTAAGTGCTGCTATTTTAGTGTGGTTGACCGCCCCCACCACCACCCTATCTCTGGAGGAAAGAACAGATGGTTTTCTGTGGTGCTGGTCTTCATGGGGTGTTGCAAAAGTCTTCCTAACATCACATCATGTCAGAGGCCTGGTCCTGTGTTGACAGGGAGACTGAGTAGAGGCCACACTAAGAGCCTGTGACCAGGGCTCATGTCCAGGATAAATCAAGGATGTGCTCCAATGGGTTAGAAACATGGACAGATCCCCCCAAAGAGGTGCTGCTGCTGCATGAGAGAGAAGGTGCAGATGGCCTCGACCTCACTGTAGCGCACACACTGTTCTGGGGGACAGAAAATACAGATAAAGAGCACTACAGGGAGCAAGAATGTGCAGCGGCTGAGCTCTGGAGTGACGGGCGGTGCCAGTTGGCAGTCAGCTTGTTCCTGAGGAATGTGCCCCAGAGGGCTTGCTGTGGGCCCTGGGAGTCGCGTACAGAGCACCCTCCTGGAGGCAGCTCCGCCACAGTTGGCTGAGGTGGGAAATGGCCAAATGTCCACCACAGCAGAGAGGAAGAATCAGTTGTGATCTGCTGAACTGGGAGCCTGGGGTGGCAGTGAAAACAAGTGGAAAGGCCAGAGGCAGAGTCAGGGGCGCATAATATAGAAGCAGACTGATGAAGAAGACCAAAGTAGGGACTGGCATCAAAGTTGRGACCCAGGTCCCCTGGCCAGACGAGCAGTGCAGCCCAGCCCTTGCCTGGTTCTCAGGTACTGCCCTCTGTACCCCATGGCTCGGCTGTTTGGGGGAGAGCACCTTATTGAAGCCCAGGCTGCCACCATGTGGCTTTGTCAGGACTTTGTTCCTTTCTTAACCAAACGGACTTACAGGGACTGGACTCGTGTGTTGTCATTGTCAGATGCAGGGTCAGAAGCTCTGAGGAGGGGCAGAGGCAGACAGGTGAGGAGCTTGCTCTGGCCAGGTAGTCTAGATCTGTTTGCTGACCTCGGGCTGCTGTTGTGGCTCAGTGGTAGAGCGCATGCCCAGCACGAGTGAGGCACTGGATTCGATCCTCAGCACCACATAAAAATAAATAAAATAAAAGCATTGTGTATGTCCATCTACAACTATTAAAAAAAAAGGAACATGACCTTCCATGTGCTTAGGTGATTACCTCAGCCCTAAGTGCATGTCACATAGCACTTGGTCAGCAGTAAGTACCCAGTGACGGTGGATTCACATGGCCACTTCTGTGAGTTTTTAAAGAGCTAGACACATCCCTAGAAATTCACATTTTAAAAATTCAGAAGTTAGGTTATTAATAAGGTTTATGTGGTTAATGCTCTTCAAATGTATGGGGTTCTCTTCTTTCATATTTTTTTGAACATTTTAGTTTTTTTAAAACAAATTTTTTATTGTAGATGAACACAATACCTTTATTTTATTTTTTAATTTTTATGTGGTGCTGCAGTTCAAACCCAGTGCCTCTCATGTGCTAGTTGAGCCACAACCCCAGCCCCCCAATTTTRTTTTATTTATTTATTTACTTACTTACTTATTAGGTACTAGGGATTGAACCGAGGGGTGCTTCACCACTGAGCCACATCCCCAGCCTTTTTATCTTTCATTTTGAGACAGGGTCTCTCTCTAAGTTTCCCAGATTGGCCTTGAACTTGTGATCCTCCTGCCTTAGCCTCCCGAGGAGCTAGGGTTTCAGGTGTATGCCACCATGCCTGGCCCAGTTTTTCATCTTCACAGAGCACCARTCAAATGAGTACAGCCCTGAGAGTGGAGGCAACAAATTAGAAATGAGAAGTCCCCCAAATCTTACAGCTGGCTTTAAATTCAAGAATTTGACTTGCAGCTTAACTTCTTAATTTACTCCTGGTTTATTTTTTACCAAGTGCTTTTTATGAAAAAACAAGTGTTTGTTGTTTTGTTGATGTATCTGCCATAATTAGCAATAGGTCCAGTTTCCTGTAATGCATTGCATAACCTTTGTGAAGGAAATCCAAGATTAAACTCACTTTTTGGTACCCTAAATAATAAAACATGGMAGGCCTTGTGGTTTGATAAATTAATAATTAAATAATTAAGATAATTAATTTTAAATTATAACATCAATAAATGTTGATGGCCAAGTTAATGGCCCTCGAATAAAATTTTGAAAACCCCATGTCCTGGTGTCTTCAGATTCATGAGGAAATAGAGGACTGAGCTCATAATCCACCTTGGCTTTTTTCACATAGCTCCTTATTGTCCTCTGAGTAGCTCAAATTCCTTCCGCTTCCTTTTTTTTTTTTTTTTTTCTTTTTTTGGCAACATGGCGGAATTGGAAATCTAACATGCTGGGAGTCAGAGAGACCTAAGGCCCCTCTGGCTCCTCCAGAATGAATTTTAGCACAGGAGCACAGATGAGTAGGTGCCTGTGGAAAAGTGGGCCGAGCAGCACTCTGGCGTTAGCCACGGAGGCTGGGGGCAGGCGGGAGAGTAGGAGGCAGCAAAGGAGCAGGGGCTAAGGCCAGAGCGGGGGTTGGGTAGAGGAGATATCACCCCGTGAAGGGGCTCAGTCTGTGGGTGTCCCTTGCCCTATGTGTACCTCTGCCAAGAGATCTGACTTGGCTGCTGGATGTTCTCTGGATCCATCTCAGCAGGGTGGGTGTGGCTGAAATTGATGCCAGTCGTGGGGCCCAGGGTCCTCTACACCCCCAGAACTTGGCCACTTTGCACCCAAAGCCACTGACAAATTGGAAAGAAAAAATGTGATTTGGGGTCCCTCCCTGCTTTGGGGAAGAGCAGTTGGATGGAGGAAGTCCAAGTGGGCAGAGGCTCTGCCTCTCCAGGTCTGTGCTGAGTGGGGGTCTGCCCCTTGGCAGGTATAGAAAGCATAAGCAAGGAAGAGGGTCTCTTACACCAGGACACCACCTCACCAGGAGCCCTCTCCATCTGGATCCTGTTTCTCCAGCTAACCTGGAGCAGGCTGTCCTTAGCTTGACCTTGGGCCCTGAGTCTACTCATCCCAAGTCAGACATTTCCACAGTGGCCAGAGCCCCCCCTGCAGGCCAGGCCAGGCTAGTGTCTATTGGGTTAGGGTCTGTCTTTTCTTCAGCAAACGTCAAGGTCAGTGGAGGGCTGGGTCTGGGTGGTGAGTCAGGCTGGGAAGGGATGGAGTGCTGACTGCTGTGCCCAAGAAGGGARGGACAGTTAGGCTTGTGGCCTTGAAGGCTTGACCCAGACCCCAGCATACCTTAAAATGAAAATTTCAGTTAGAAGCAACACAGACAAGTGTCCTGCACTTCAGCCTTGAGGTTTATGAATAAGGAACTAGGCCCTCAGAGCTCACCAAGCACCTCACAGCCACTGGGGGCAGACAAAGCTGAGCATCCAGTGTATTTCCATGATTCTTTTTTTTTTTTAATATTTATTTTTAGTTGTAATTGGACACAATGCCATTTATTTATTTATTTGTTTGTTTGTTTGTTTATTTTATGGGGTGCTGAGGATCGAACCCAGGGCCTCACACACGCTGGGTGGGTGCTCTACCACTGAGCCGCCACCCCAGCCCTTTCCGTGATTCTTCACAAGGCAAACTAACTTGAGCAGGTCCCAATTTGAGGAGATGTACTTTGTGTGTAATAAATAAAACTAAGCAGCTACCTCTCAGCTGAATTTCCCTACAGACCACAGCAGGCGCTTGAGGCCCACACACGAAGGCCATGCAGTACAGCCCGGCGCCATGGCCTTTGGGCAGGTGTTCCCAGGTGGTCAGAGAGAATGCAGGGGCTAGCGCAGCACCCCACATCATGCCAGTGTTTCTGCAGAAGTAGGGGTGGTCAGGACAGCCCCACCACCCTGCACCCCTGCAAGGAATCACCTGAGGGAAACTGTCCTGTTTGCAGAGCCTCCTGGGTTTTAGATTTGGGGATTAGGTGGCTGTGGGCCTGTAATTCCAGCCTAGAGAACTGGAATCGGGGCACATGGAGGATGCAGCGGAGGTTCTTCCCACACCCACGTTTTAAAGTAGACGTCTAGTAAGTGTGAAGACAAAAGGTCCACGTGAGGTTGACGCGTGACTGGCCGGGCTGTAGACACCTCTGGGCTTGGCCTGGGGGGCGGATGCCTCACCTGCATTGCCCCAAGGCTGACATTCCTGTGCAGCTCTGCCCGAAGCAGACTGATCAGGGCCACTTTACAGTCCCTGATCACTGTGGGGAGCCCAGCTTCATGCCCTTCTGTGCCTTGCTGGCACTTCTACTGGTGCCCAGTTCTCTGCCTCAGGAAGGCCCGTCAGCTTTGCTGTTGTGAGAAATCCTAATAGTGTTTTCTTCCTTCGGTTTATTTATATTTCATTTTGTGCACACTTTGGGGAGTTGATTGGAAGGACAGATCTATCCTGAAAACACTAAGCTGCTGTTATCGGTGGGGGCAGGAGCATCCGGCAGCCCAGCCCTCCTGACTTGTCCCCRTTCAAACCAGCCACATCTGACACCTTCGGTGACTCCTGCGCAGCCTCAGTGTGCCTGGCAGGCGTCCTGAGTGCCGTCCTTGTGCCGAGTGTCTGCATTTCCTTGCATTGTTTCCTTCATCTTGATAACTTGGCATTTTCTATGAAACATCTTTTTATATAAAAAGGGAGGTGTGTGAACCCTGCCTTCAGGTTCTCATCACGTTTGAGAAAAGCTCGATGTCAAGGCTGCAGGTCAGCTGAGTGAGGACATGACCTGCATCTTCAGGACAGGTGCACAAGGTCGGAAGGCCAAGAGGTTAGCTGAGAGGCGCCTGTTCTTCACACAGGGCCCCTGTTGCTTTCCACAGCATGGCCTTGGCCCAGGGTTGGTCTTTTTGAGAAAAACCCCCTGTGCCATTCCTGCGTCAGTGCATCTCTTTCTGGGGAAGAAAGTGCCCGGCATTCCAGGTAACAAAGTGCTGTGCGTTCGGTTGAACTTCAGTTTCCTCTGAGCAGCTCATCTCCCAGGCTGAGAGAGCAGGGAGGGAGGAAGTGGAGCCTCCCAAGTGTCCGTGGCTGGCTCTGGGCCCCAGGACTGGGCCTGGGGCACCCTCTTCCTAGGCCTGAGCCATCACCTGCTGTACTCCTGCGGGGTCCAGCGAGCAGCGCCGCTGCCCACAGTGCATTTTCTTTATCAGCCGCCGGAGTTTGCTGGGAAAGTTTTTGTTGATGTAGCGGTAGAGAAGTGGTGTCACAGAGCTGCTCAAGAAGGCCAAGAACTTGGATAAATCCTTAGCAAAGTGCAGGATCCCCAGGTAGTGCCCATCCACAGGCCTCCCTCGTGAGACCAGTACCATGTGCCCCAGGAGGCTCAGATAGTATGGCGTCCAGAGCCCAAACTGCGTGCACACGGTGGCTACCAGAAGCCTGTGCACGGAGGGGTCCAACCTGCCTGCTTCCTGGTCCAGAGGTGTGTCCTCCTTCCGGATCCGTGAAATGAGCACCAGTGCATACAGCACAGCCAGGCCCGGCACTATGTAGCCAATGAGCACCAGGAGGGTATCTGCAGCCTCTGTGTTCTGCATCTTGGCACACTCCGTGATCCGGGAGGACACATGGCTGCAGATGTAGAAGAGCAGGGAGGAGAAGCTGGTCAGCAGTGCCCCACCCCAGACAAAGCCACACACGTGCCGCGTGTTGTAGACGCTGGCCATGTAGGTGCGCGGCAGGGCCCGCTCAATGTAGTAATCGAGGCTGAGCAGGGCAGTGGAGTACATGGTTACCAGGGAGGCCACATTGAACAGGATCAGCAGAGTCACGTGGGCCTCACTGCTAAGGCTCCACAGTGCCCACCTGGAGTAGGGGGAACCCAGCAGGTGCACGGGGGCCAGGGCCGTGAGCACCAGGCCCGCGACAGCCATGTTCACAAAGTACACGTCCGGCATGGTCATGCTGCTCTTGTTGCTCAGGTTGGCCAGCACCAGCAGGGCATTGTAGCCCAGGCCAACGGGGACACCCGCCACCAGATGGAGCAGCGAGAGGACCCACAGCCCTAGGCGCAGATCCTGGCACAGCTGCTCCTCGCCCTGACCCGTGCCATTGAGCAGGCCGCAGCTCCACATGGCAGCCTCACCAGGCTCTGCGTCTCTGTGGAGAGAAAGGACACTCAGTCACTCCCTGTCCCCTTGTTCAGCACCACCAGACTGCTGAGCCAGGAAGAAACTGCCCTCTGTGTGTGTTCTATGAAAACAGGTCCCAAGCTGGGCTGCTGTGTCCCATCTCTACAGCAATGCCAGTGGGTGYGGTGAGGCTGCCGAACCCTGCTTTTCTGAAGGAAATGGCATCCTGGGTGACACCTGATGTGACAGAAACTGCTCCACGTACTCTCCTGCGTCCTAAGCCACAGCTGAGCATGGGTTCCTCTCCACCTGCAGAGAGCTACTACCACCTCCTGGCTCGGGGGGTAGGGGGACTCTTCAGGGTTAGAATCCACAGGACTCTGGGCACCTGGCAGTGCTGGGGCACCCCAGCCAAGTCCTGCACGACAGGCTGCCTCACAGGGCTTCCCACCTCGTGTAACTGAGTGTGATGAGCATCTGCCACGAGCTAGAGTAGGAAACATAGTCTGTCCCCTGCTAGGATGTGAACACACACGCCCACCCGTGTATACCTGCTGAGCAGGAGCATCACATTAGCAAGCGCACAAGCACACGGGTAGAAGGACAGTGCATGCAGGCAGGACAGGAATGTGCCACGTGAGTGGAGCTGAGGGGGCGCTGTGAGGAACAAGAGCCCCACAAGGGTCACTACTGGAGAAAGTGCATGGTGTACCCTGGAGCCCCAAGGGAGCTCTGGTCGGCTTCTCAGAGCTCACAGCCTCCCCATTGCACCATCATGAGGCACAGCTGAACTCTCTGTTGGGTGTCCAGGACTGCAATCCTCAGGTTTGAGGGGTGCCTTTGGGAGTCAGCCTGGGCATTCCCTCTATCAGGACGCCCCAGCCTAGGGCCTGGCCCCTTGGAGCAATGCAGAGCCTGGGGACATAGCAAGTCTTGTAATTGAACAAGAAACTGGCAAGTAGAGGCATAATATAAACAGAACTCTCTGCTGTCCTAAGGACAGATGCCCTCGAGAGAAACTTTACCTTTGGAATGTAGTTTGGCCCAACCAGACTCCTGTTCTGGGAATAGAAAAGCGTCTCAGGCAGACACAGAAAGCAAACATCGCCGTTTCCCAGAGTGCAGGGACAAAGCGAGGAAGCCAGGCTGCCGGTGTTGGCACTGGTCCCGCCCGCTGTGGGCCCCGCCAGGAGGAAGCTCTGTGACCGCGTGACAAGCTGTTCCCCACTCGCCCCACAAGTCCTGCAGGCATGCACCAATTGTCCCTGGCTCTCCACTGCTTCACTGGGTCATGGTAGTGAGCAGGGAGGGACCCGCCACCCCAAAGCTCACACCAGACAGGTGGGCCACAGCAGGGCTGGGGTGGTAATGAGGGAAAGGAAGAGCCTAGCAGCAGCCACCACTGACGACATCATGCAGTCCCCCAGCATGGGTTCTYCTGCTCCCTGGGTTGTCCCCCACACCAGCCTCAGCTGTCCTTGTCCCAGAGTCAGGTGATGAGAATTGGGCTGAGCAGGAGTTCCTGTTCAGAAGCAGGGCCACAGTCCTCAGGTGCAGATGTGTGTAGGCAGGTCACAGTCCTACCAGTGCCCCCTGCCTCTGGGACAGTGAGCACTGGATGGAGCCAGGTGCCCAGGGCTGGGTGCATGCAAGGCAGCCTTGTCCCCCCCACCCCCCCAGGATAAGTGTGTGCTCCCATTCTCCATGTGGACCAATTGCTGCTCACTCTCAGACTGCAGTCTCKTCACCAAACCACCCTGGCCAGCACCTCAGGGACTGGTCCACTTGTGGGATATTGCTGTCTGGTCTGACTGAGCGGCTGCCCCTTTTCTCTTTCCCCCCAAATGCCTGATGGCCAGTGTCCATGATTAAATGCTGCCTTCAGGTACGTATGGTTCTTCCAGGCTCCTGCGCACTGCGTCCGGCTGTCGCTGGAGGCTAAGCAGCAGCCCATATCCTCTGGCCCATGGCTGTGAATCTCCCATGAAATGCACATTCAGTGGCCACTGCGAGTGGGTGTCAGTGGACGGCTTCTCCACCCACTAGCATCCTGGTCTTGCCTGGTCACCAGCCCATAGCCACATCCCCACCAGCCTGGCTTCACGTGGCATACAAGAACCCAAGATGTYCCTGTGATCAGAGGCTGTATAGACTGCAGGTCTCTCTGCCAAGGAAGGGCCCTCCACACTATGTTGGGCACTGTGTCCCCCAGCTTATTTACAAGTGAGCCTTGGAGCTGCGCACCATATTCATCTGATAGGCCTGGTCAAGTGCCCAGGTCCCTTTCCCTCCCTCTAGTACAGTGTCCCTGTCCCTGGGCTATCTGGGAGGCTCCCTACCTTGCTACTCACTGTGTCACAGCTTCCCTTGCCCCCGTCCAGCTCTTGGCCCCCAGCAGTGCCAACCATCGGCTCTTACCTTTATCTCGTGTCCCGCGTTCCTTGGTGGCGTGGATTCCAGACACCGGCGGCACGCAGCATGGCAAGGCCGAGGCAGCTACTGCAAACCAGAAGGACCTGTTGTGTCTCTGGAAGCCCCRCTGCCGCCTCCTCAGTGGCCAGGCAGCGTGGGCTTGCGGGTGTGTGTGTGTGTGAGGGCCTGCCACACGCTCGTGCCCGTGGAGGCCACTGCTTGTTTTCTTCTAATAAATTACTCACAAAGTTTCTGCCTCCCTTGGCAGCCGCAGCAGCCCCTCCCTATCTCTGTTTACAGCTGGTTTTAAGAAATGAGAGGTGGCCCTTGGATGGGTCGGCGCTCCTGGAGCAAGCGTTCAGCTCCTCTCACCCGGCTTGGTAGACATCCAGGCTCCCAGGGCTGGCTGTGGTGGCACTTCCCCTGTGCCCCTGCCTGCGTCCAGCCCTGCAGAGTGTCCTGTGCCGGGGCCAGAGCAGGGCTGGCAGAGTTGGGTCCAGGGTCCTGCTACACAGCATGGTTGAGAAACTCAGTTCTGAGTTCCCTCTTCCCTTGAGGAAATAAAYTGAACAGACATTTGTCTGTAGAAACTAAGGACAAAATAGTTGGACCTCACTGAGACTCTACCATAGAGAGACTTTGGCTGCTTTCATTTCAGACCCAGGCACACAGAGAGCTCTTTGAAGGGCCAGGGCAGGCCCAGAATCTAAAGCATGGGGTGGAGGGGGCTGCGCCTGCAGCGCGCGCCCTCCCAGACACCCCAGCCTGCGTGGGTGGTTATCAGTGGGGATTAAAGAGGAACAGCCCAGAGGGGGTGGAGGCTGCCTGAGGTTCGCCTGTCACGGGCTGTGCCTGGCAGGTCTGCTCCCTGCTGTGCCCTCCCTGGAGTTGAGTGGGGACAGGGGCTGCCTGGAGCGCTAATACCTGCCACCAGATTAGTGGAGCAGGAGAAGGAAGCCTGTGCCCAGCCCAGGATGGCTCCATCCTCGGGAGCCTGTCKGGCCGTCGCATGGAACAAGCCTGTTTAGAATCTCTTGGGCATTCGTGTGCTGGCATGACCTGGCCCCTTGGTTAGAGAGCAGCACCATGTGGAGTGTGTGTTTGCACCGGCTGGGACATGTAGGAGGAGACAGTGGCCTCTCCGTGTTAKGTATGAGCAGCTTCTAAGTGTGTAAGAATTTATAACTTTATAGGCTAGAGGTAGCTTCTATGTATAGTTTTCTTCCACGTCAATTATAAGGATGTTTTGCTTCAAATGAAGGTTATAAGCCCAAAGGTATCTATTTTTATCCATGTTCAGTCCATCTAAAAATGACATTCTTTTTGTTTTGACATGACCTCCCAAGAAGCAGCTCCCCTGCCAGGCTGTTACTTGGAGATCCTGGGAGCAAAGTGACAAGTTCCATCCCAGGCTGGCACTGTCTACAACAGGGACATGTGGAAAGAGGAGGCAGCTGGAGAGGGTGGGTGGGCACTACCACAGCCATGGAGGCCAGCTCCCAGTCAGAGATGGAGAGTGACACTCTGCCATTTCCTCTGTGGCATTCAGAACACGGGTCTCTGGAAACTCAGTGGCGCTAGCGTGAGCTCTCCACCGGCAGGCTGTGGGCTGCAGCTGGGGTATGGACAAGATGAGATGCCGCACCACAGAAGCACCACTGCCTCTGCATTTGGTAGAAGAGCTGTGACCCTTGGGGCTCGGGGAGACAAGTCAGGAAGTGTTCCCATCTCTCCTAATCACAGGGTGATGAGTGACATACTTCCTCCCATTATCACGTAGGGCTCCAGGGTGCCTGTCCCATTCAGGCAGTTGCCATACCATCTCCCCTGCCCATGCTCTGCCTGTGTTCCAGCGAGGTCTGTAGTCCAGGCTGGATGTGCCCACCATGCCACAGAGGGACACTGGCCCTGAAGGGCAGAGCTATCGGACTTACTGGCCTTTYGCAGTTCCTGTTCCCTGGCTGTTTGGGGAGGAAGGATGTCCTGCAGCTGGGGAACACGAGAAGGTTTCCACCCTGCAGCACAGGCCTCAGGACCTGGGCTGGGCTGCCCTTCGCTTAGCCAGGCCTCTAAGARCTCACTTCATGAGAACCTGGAGCCAGAACCAGGTGCTGGGAGATCGGGGACAGGGGAGAAATCCCCCCCAGTGGTCTCCTCAGAAGTGGRCTCATCCCTGAGGGACTGAAGTCCGAGTTTGCTGTGACAGGAGGTTCTGGTGAGGCCCTGGCTAAAAAGAGATGTGGGCGAGAGCAGAGAGGCTCGTCCCTGAGCCCATGCTGGGGCCCTTCTCTTAGCCTGGCCGAGGCCCGAGGCGCAGAGCACTCCTGGCACTCGCTCACATTCCGCCCATCTTCATTTGGAGAGCTGCCTGCCAGATGGCAGGATTAATATCAGCTTCCAGGCCCTGCCACCTGCTGCCATTCCCTTGCCCACAGGGCCCAGGTCAGCAGGACCCCAGTAAGCCTGACATTCTCAGACCAGAAGAGTGTGTCCCCACATCCCTGAGGCCCCAGTCACAAAGCGCTGCTCGCCCAGCTCCCGCAGGCCCCAGCTAATAGCCTCACATTTCTGGAGTCTTCGGAGTGGCTGTGCTGCCTCCTGCTGGAGCCCTCCCACCCGCCCTGTCCAGCAGYCTCCCCGTGCTGTCCTCCCACCAGGCCCTGCTCCTGTCACCAGCTGGTTTGTCCACCTTCCTTCCATTCCTGTCACCAGCCTCTCCCACCCCTGAAACCCTCCCCCACATTTCCTGCAGGACCTGCCATACTCCCTGTTCCCACCCAGGTCGTACACCAGTGCCCACACCTCTCAGATCAGCACTGGGACCTACACTTATCAGGCTAGGCCCCGGGCCAGGCCCTAACCCTGTCTCCCATCCCCTTTCCCCTGTAACTCCCCTGGTGTCCCTCCCCTAGCCTCTGCCTGGTAGCCGCTTGCCTCTGCTGACCGTGGCCCTTGTGGCTGAGCCCCACCACAGACGCCAGCCCTTGCACTTCAGTGGGACCTTGGTTCTCCCCCTCCTGTGCGACCTCTGCCTGGCTGAGGGCCCAGTCAACTCCCAGGTGGCTTTTCTGACGGTTTGAAGCTCCAGTGTGACGAGTAAACAGTCCGCAGTCATGCTCTGACCCCGGGTGCGACTTCCTTAGAAGGCTGCCCTAGAGGACATGCAGCAAGCCTGATCCCTCTGCTTCCTGCCCCCAGCTCTCTGTGGGAGGGACAGCCCTCCAGCCTTTGGGGTTCTGGTTGAAATGGTGCCAAGGTCGCTTCCCTTCTCTGTGACAAGCCAGGATGTGGCAGGTCAAGCTGGCTCAAGGAGGCCGCACTGGCATGGCAGGTGCATTGCCAAGTTCCTACTCATGAACTAGCTGTCCTTCCGCCTGGAACCCCCCAGAGCCCCTGGAAGGACCAAGTGACAGCCCACCCCTGACTAGGAGCAGGGGGAATGTAGGGCCCATGCGTGGACCTTGGGCTGTCCTCAGTGTCCCAGTTACAGTCATGTTACTGTCTCCCTGAAGAGAATTCATTAACCATATGAATKYGACACACATGCCCTCTTTCTTTTTTGTCCTTTTAATTATATGCATAAAAAAGAAAGTGTGCATACCATGAATGTGAGTGGATACAGAGGTCTAAGGTTCCAGCCGATGGGCCTAGCAGAGGACAGGAGAGGGAAATGGGAGGCCAGCCTCACTGTAGCAGAGGGGACAGAGCCCAAACAAACTGGCCCATGAAATATGAACAGGCTGACTTACAGGCAGCTGAGCCCTGGGCTCACCTAAAACTTCAGCCCATCCAGCCTGTGGCCTCCTCTCCTCTTTGTCCCCAAGAAACTACTTCCATAGCAACAGTATGCACTTCCAGGGGCATCATAGGGAGCTGCAGTCAGAAGAGACAACTGGAACTGAGGTGCCTACAGGAGGCCACCCTGTGCTTCCTGGCCAGGAAGCTGTTTTTCTTTACACATGTGTTGAAAAGGTGCTGAGACTTCTGTCCATGCGCTGGGTGGGGTTGGGTGGGGTGCTGGGCAAAGCCCAGTGGGAATCCCAGTGGCCTACAAAAGCAAACCACCACCACCACCACCACCCCCCGCCATAGAGGAGAGCTTGATTGGGTAGCACAGCCAGAGGGTCAGGGTTGCAAAAGTTACCCAGGCAGAAGTCCACAACCCACTTGTGGCTCTGTGCATTCCTGTCCAGGCCTCTCTGCTGGCTTCTGGGTGACCTCAGGCTGACCTGTTGATCGTGCTTTCTGAGCCCGGCAGACTGGCATGATAATGAGGCAGGCCTAATTATTCACTGTGGTGGACTGATCAGGCCGTTGGGCACAGAGGTTGCGGCTCCCCTCTGAGTATACTAGGGTCTCCAGGGAATGCACCCTTTGGGGCTCCTTGTCCCTTCTGGTCTGAGGACTTGGCTGTTTCTGTAGCCTCTCTTTCTGGCCCCTCAGCTGTGGTCTGGTGTCTCCTGCTGGACAACAGCTGATTGTTGGAGCCCTGGGTGGGGGGAAAGCTGGAGMTCCTTCCCACAGGGCCTGCCAGCTCCAGTTACTGCAGGAAGGTACCCCCACCTACCCTCCAGCCCCAGTGGGTTCCCCGTGACCTTCCCCTCTGCATCCCTCCTCCTGAGCTGCTATAAAGCTCTTGAAAAAGAAAACCCAGGAAAGTCTGACTCTGGGGCCTGTAGGGACTGGCAGGGTGGTGTCAATGGCGAGAGCAGAGCCCTCCTGCCGGCCGAAGCAACCCTTCCAACTGCTTCCTCGTGGGCCTCAATCTGTGTTAATGCCTGCCCAGGGTGGGTGGCTTTCTGCTCACTCTAGTTTCTTCTGAATTTCTAACTGCAGCCCCTCCAGCATGCCAACCTCTCAAAAAGGAACTGTTGGGCATCCTTGAGGCATCTGGCTGGTGCACTCCATAGCACCAGGTCTGCCAGGTGAGAAGTCCCTGATCAAAGATGGTCACAGGCAGGCCTGGCGGAAAACAGCCTGCAGAACACCAAGTCCACTGCATAGCACCACCTGCAGCACCTGTGCTGACCAGCGAGTCCACATGCTGGCTGGTCTGGAAGGTCCGGGGCCCTGGCAACGTGAGTACG